TGAATGCAGTTAATGCCACTGAAATGGACACTTACAAATAAGTTAAAATGGCAGTGGCACGTTCTATGTTATATACATTTTAGCACAATAAAAAAATATTTTTAAATTCTGATATAAACTTAGCTTAATGACAGAAAAGCTCATTAACCCTTATTGAAGGCAGGTTTTAATAAGACTTTTTGCTTTCCTATTCATGTACTCTATTGATAGCACATTCACATCTAGCTCAGTAAACTGAAATAGGACAAAAGTGAGTATTCACTAGGTTAGTCCAAATAAGAAACCAGTAGATTTCTGGGAGTCAAATGAGAGGTGAAACTTTCTAGTGTGTTAAGTTCTGAAGGGTCATCTTCAGAGCAGGCTAATGCCATGTATCTACAAACACAGGAGCCAGGCCCAGGAGGTTTTCTTGGCTCACACAGTCCTAAATCCTTTGAACACCAGCAATGTAGTTGAAAGATAGATGCTGAGAGGGAAAACATTCTCAGCAACATCCCTGCATTATTTCTACCTCTTTTCTGTCTTTAACCACTTTGTCCCCACCTACAGGCATGATGTCCATAGTAGCCACAGGCAGATCTTCACCTGGCTTAACTCTACCTCTTCTCTTCTCTTTTCTTTTTCTTTTTTTTGGGGGGGGGGGGTGTGCTGGGGATTGAACTCTGGATCTTGCACTTGCAAGGCAGGCGCCAAAACCACTGAGCTAAATCCCCGGCCCTACCTCTTCTCTTTTCTGAAAGCTTTCTTTCTCATTAGAAATAATTTGAGTGTGGTTTGGGAATCTACAGGCCTTTTGGGAGTTAAAGCTTTTTCTGCGTGATTATGTTTTCACCACTGAAAATAGAGAAATATTTTTTTCCCCTCTTTACACTCCACTGGGATGGTTAAGCTCATACTCAAAGGCAAAGTAAGATCTCCGGGGTAAAGATATTACCAACATAAGAAACACTCTTAAAAACTCTGTTTCCAGAATTTTCCTCTTTAGTGTAAATGCTAGGGTTTGAGATAATTTTTAATGGAAGGCAGAAAATAGTTTTTTTGCTAAACATCCAAATTACTCTGATATATTTATTATTGTCATAATAATTATGCCACTTTGTCTTTAAAAGCAGCACACACTTTTGTACAGCATTGCATTTCTCTCCCAAATTTTCTTTTTAGATATGTGAAGGCAACTTATTATTCTAATTTTTCAATATAGACCCAGAGAGGCTAGGTGCTGTGTCTGAATCAAACGGACTTGGCATAACCCCCACAGCTTCCCAATATCCCTTGCAGTGCATTCTTTTCTTATGATTAGGACAAATCGCAGGGCCCTGTGCATAGGGAAAGGACTGGAACATACATTACATATTAAATATTAAATATTATTGGCTTCTTGATCTGCTAACATCCCTATCCTTTGAAAAGCTCATATTAAAGCTAACTTGGATCCAACCGTTTTCTGCTACAGGTTAAGGTTATGCCTATCCTGACAGCACAATAAGTAATAAATTAGCTGAATCCTCCTTGAAAGATGGAATTCACAATTTTTTTAATTTTAAAAAGTTGGAAAATTTGAAATTGACTTCAGACTCTTTAATAATTTTCTTTTTTAACATATATCATTAATCTTAGAGTCAGCTCTGTTTGGAAGATTATTGACCCTATCATTTAAAATTTCCTAGAGCTTGGTGACTAGGTTGATAATGGCAGAGTATGGAAGATGGACATTAAAAGGTTATGGCTAGGGCTGGGGATTTAGCTCAGTGGTTCCGCCGCCTGCCTCCCAAGTGCAAGGACCTGAGTTTGACCCCCGGTACTGAAAAACAAAGGTTATGGCTAGAGTCCTGGGTAAAGTCAAAAGACCAATTTATTTCAGACTTTTCTCAGGCTCACGTGCAGGGAAGAATTATGGCCCCAGCATCCCATGACACACTAGGGTATGTTCCACAACAGATATGAAGCTCTGAATTGTTCTCCCCTAATTTTACAGATAAAAACCTAAAGTCCAGAGAACTTACGTAGCTGGTCCCTAGCCTGAGGACTAGAGTAAAAGGACAAAGATGTTTAGAATAAAGATGTTTAGAAACTAGAACCACAAACACCTCCTAAGGAGGATGGACCCTCTTAAATGTAAAACTGGTTCCCACCTGATCTCCTGGATAGATTCAGATATGCAAATTTGAGCATATAAGGGGTGGTCAAAAATACACTGAATGTTTAAATTTTTTTTATAATTCATTATAGTTAAAAGACACATTGTCCATAATAGTGCAGTAAATGTGTTCAAAGCAAGGGGGCAGTATTTTGGGTATTTTGAGGGGATTAACGGCAATGTGTCTTTTACTGTAATGAATCTTTTAATTTAAATGTCCATTGTATTTTTGAACACCCATCACTGAGCAAATATTTACAGCAATTTCTGTCAAATAAAAACATTACTGTGTGTTATCCACCCTATTCAGTGGATTTGGCCCTATACAACTTCTGGCTCTTCCCCAAAGTCAAAATGATCAAAAGTAAATGTTTTGAATCAATGCAGGACATCCAGGCAGACACAACAGTGCAACTAAAACTACGAAAGAAGACTTCCAGAATTGTTTCAGACAGTGGCAAGAATGGTGGGATAAGTGTGTTGAAAGTGAGGGGGAGTATTGGGGGGGGGATTAATGACCATGTGTCTATTACTGCAGTGAATTTTAAAATTAATTTTAATTCGTTCATTTCCACTCCTAAGAAAGTGCTCCTCTTGGAGTTGTCTCATGGAGAATAGAGATGAGGGAGATGGCAGGCAGCCCATGGAGACCTGAACTGCGGCCAGCCCTCACCACCCAGAGTCAGCAGGAGACCCGAAAATGCTGCCTGCCACAGATCATTAGTGGGAACTGGGGAAGGGATATAGTTTCAAATCCAGCTTCAGCAACAGTTGGCAGGTTACATATGAAGGAGGAAAGGAAACAGGTATCACAAGAAAGGGAACCTCCAGTAACGGAGGAATAAGGAAGAAGTACTGGGTTTCCACAGTTCGTGCAACTGGGGATTCAAGACAAGTTTACATTTATGCAGCTTTTTGTGTAAAAGGAAAAGCTCCCTTTATTAATCAGTGACACTAGTTTTGGGCACAAGTAAAGCTAAACACAGGTCATTTGATTCCTAGTTCAATCACCTTTCTACATAGTCACGTTTTTTCAATACATAGTCCTTATGAGGACAAGGGATGACTACCACCAAAGACAGCTCAGAGCTCAGACACCAGAGCTATCTGTTAAATGGGAATGAATTCTAGGTTCTAATGCTCTCTCTCTTCAGTTCTAATTCTTTCTCCAACTTCTCAGTCTGATTTACCCATTACTTTTATCACTGTCCAATCAGAAAACTACTGTCTACATATCAGACACATATTCAATCTGCCTTTGAGTTTAGAAAACAAATGTAAATTTCAGCCTGGATGTTCGAAGATGTCAGTAATAGAAAGTATTAAAAACTCAGAACATCTTAGTCATTGCAGGGCTCTGAATCTTCATCAAACCTCTTTGATCCTAGCCAAGACAGTCATTTGCCTAAGAGGGTTGTTCCATACAGGACTGGCTACATCACAGGATCCAGAAGGAGTCACTGTGGAGTTTCATGCTCTAATTGTCTCCGTCTTAAAATGTTTTGTGATGTTTCTCTTAGAATTTGTGTTTTGTAAGTGAAGTCCCATAGGACAACAGAGCAAGTGTTGGGCATTGGAGCCTCATGGCACATGTAAGCCAACTCTGCTGGCCGTCCACTCCCTCCCCCTGCCCAGTGGGGTCATGTCCATGCAGGGTGCACTGACTTGTCTACATGTGAGGTGGGGTTCCATGAGGGTCTGAACTCACCTACAGGTACCCTGGAACCCAAACGGGCCAGGGATTAAATAGCAAATAAAAATTGCTAAGACAAATCAAGAAAATCTTTTTGCTTTTGACCAAGGGACCCACATTTTCATTTTGTACTGAGCTATACAAATTATGTCACTGGCTTTGATCATACCTGACTCTTACCTGGCAACCTCAAATCAATGTTATTTTTAGATTCTTAACTGAATAACTACAACATATGTGGAATAAGTTTGATTTTACTAAAAATATTGTTTGGCTTAAAGAACTCTTGAAATCAAGCACAAAACCAGGTATTTTTCAAAGTTTATTATGGTTTAGTTCTAAAATGTCTCACAAAAGGCTCTGTGTGAAGGCTGGGTCCCCAGTACATCAATACTCAGAAGTGGGCTTCAGGAAGAGATTAGATCGGAGGGCTCTGACCTCATCAATAGATTAATCCCTTGATGGACTTATGATCTGACAGCATAAGGTGATGAAAACTTCAGGAGGTGAGGCCGAGGGGGAGGCAGCTGTGCACTGGCAGGGTACATATTATCCCTGCTCTCTCCCCCACCCTGGCTCCCAGACACAGTGAGGTGAGCAGTTTGCCTCACCAAGCTCTGTGACTATGATGTTCTGCATTACCGCTGGCCCATCCTCAGTGATAGGGCCAAGAGACCATGGACTGAAACTTCAGAATTAGTGATCCAAAATAAACCTCTCCTCCTTTAAGTTAGTATCAGCAGGTATTTTGTCACAATGACAGAAAGCTAACACATAGTTCCACAGGGTTTAAAAAGAAAACCTGGAAATCATTCTTAGCAGAAGGTATCAGTAACAACAGAAGGTTGAGCTCAGTTGTGACATGACAGTGTAACTCATGGAATGGAAAGATAGGGATTTTTTTGTTCACTGAAGCAACCATGAAAAAATAATTATTTATTTCTCCACAGTGAACATATTATCATTCTATATTTTCTTTCACATTAGGGAAAGGTTTTTTTTAAATCTCATTACTTTTCTCCTAGGCTGATGCTTGCCCATCATGACTGCAGTGTTTTTCCTGTCTTAAAATGGCCAAAGCCAGTGACACCAGTGGAATCAAGAAGAAATGTAAGAAGCAGCTTCTTCTTCCTTTTTAATTTGCATTTGCTTCGTATCTTTGTACCTTACCTTGAGCTTGGTCAAAAGAAGTTCATGGTCATGAAGAAGTTTTTTGGTTTCATCTTGACTGCTCCCAATTTCTAGAAGATTGGGCTGTGATTCTGCCAGCTGAAATTGTACCCATTTGCCACACTAAAGTAAAAATGAAATAGAGTGAACTTTTAGTTCCTCTTATTCCTTCCTCTTTACCCTTCTCCTTTTTAATTTTATTTTTTAATTTCCAGTTATACAATAAATATTTTTTCTTTCCATAGAGATGGGCCTTACTTACGTTGGAACATAACAGGTCTAATACATATCTTTGCCATGTCTAGCTTTATCCTTATGATAATTTTTTCTCTTTTGTATTTTTCTTTTTTTTTTTTTGGTACCGGAGACCAAACTCAGATCCTTGCGCTTGTGCAGCAGGTGGCGAAACCACTGAGCTAAATCCCCGGCCCAGCATTTTGAATTTTAAAAATTCCTAAATGAGGAACATGTACAATGGGATTGTGTATTTTGAATATTACAAAATTAAGTAATAAAAACTGTAACTCCATAAAAATAGTGAAATTCCATGTGGGCAAAGTAGTATGCAAACTTCACCTTGCATCAGACACAGGATTTCTATCTTTCTAGTCTGAGGAGCTTGGAGTGTATTTTATATAGACAAGGGAGTAAGGTAAAAGGGCTGGGGAGGGGCAGTAAGGGGACATTCTTAAAAACATAATTCAGTTAAAATATGAATTTCCAGTGTAATTTTAAAGTTATTTTCTTAGGTTCCGTGTACCTTTCATTTTTTCCTAGATGACAAGAGCATTACTCTTCATCTTGCTCTAAGAATGTTTCTTGTTTGAGAAAAAGTTAACTTTTTTAAATAATGAATTTGCTCCTCTCCTCTCATTGCTGAAATTTGTAGTTGCTCAGACCACGATTAAACCATTTGCAAAAGATCATTTCTCACTGCTGCTGTCTCATATTTTTCATCTCCATTCACCTCTTTGGAAAAGATGGGGGGTAAGGGAGTCAGCAGAGGTCCTGCTTATTTGGGAGACAGATCTCAACAGCACTGACAAGTGGGCCTCAATAGGAACATTTTTGCTTTCTGCATTCTGTGCTTCCATGGTGAATGGTTTCGCTCAATGTCCAGTTCTGTGTTGCTGTTATAAATTTTCGTATTACCCTAAAATTTACAGCAATTAAATTAAACAGGCCTTATTGTTCTTGCTGTAATAAAAGGCCAGAAAAACCATTCAATTAAGCCTGCCGGGGTCCTGTAAGTAACTGGCTGGTGAACAGCAGCTTGTTTGCCAGGTTTCCTTCCATTAAACACTATATTCTTTCGGTGGTAAATTGCAAAAAACCCAAGTATAATGCGTCAGAGGTTTTCGTGGGGAATAAAATCACAGATGTCTTCTTCAACATAATGATGTGCGGTCATCTTTGCAAATGAGAAAATTGCTGGACATAAAACATGTACTTAAGCCCCAAGTGTTTGCAGCATTATCTTGTTAAGAGCAAATTTGACACATGCTTTTTACAACCTTCTGTGGCACGGTCTTCATTCCCCCACAATCGTGCCAAGGATTTAGTAGTGCCCTTACCATGTCCAAACCACAGCTGTTGGGGACATGCCAAAGCCTCTAACTAGGTGTTCCGTGTGCTCCTTTATGCTCAGAACAGTGCCACCTCTGACCCGCCTGCTCGGTCCCCATCACATCCACCCTCAAGAACTGCGAGCAATGCACAGCCCCCGGCCTGTCCAGTTTCAGATCACACCCACCTTGCTTTTAAAGACAAATTGAAAGTTTGCTATCAAACTGCTGTAGATGCTTTCAGGCTAACTGAAAAGAGAAAACTCTAGTAACTGGCTGAAACTTAGTAGAAGCTTCTCTTAGTTGCTGATTCAAGAAAGCTCTTAAGAAGAACACTTACTTTTATCGTGCATGTGCTATGTCCTGCTGACTGACTGCAGTATTCCTTACAGTTATCAACACACCCAAGAACCCCACAGCCACAGAGGAAAAAGGAAAGTTGTTAGCTTACCTTTACGACAGCTATCACGATTTTGGAGTCTCCAGCCTGCACAGCTACTGAGCAGACAGTTGTGGTGGAAAATTCTGCACCAGAACTTCGTGGACAGTACATGGTCTTTTAGAAGAAAGAGTTTATACCCGGGGCAGCCTCTGCACCGAAGTGAGTCTGCTGGTCATTTCAGAAGACAACCACCAGGTTACTTGGATTCATTCAGGGAAAGAGCTCTGCTCGCACCGATTACTCTGCCAAAAGGAAAGAACAGGAGGTTAAAAATAGACGTCATTGAGTTTATCATGAGAGAGAGAGAGAGAGGGGAGCGAACAAAGAGCCACACCCCTAGTATGGTAATGTTAAGAGCCTGTTATTTTTGCCATTATCTGAAAGGAGAACAACTTTGAGCTCTTTGCCTATCAGCTGATGTTTGATAGCAAATGGGAAAAAAAATTACATCCTGACAACCCAAATTAGTTTTGCCATTGAAACTAAACAGTTGTAACTATGGACTTCAAAACCAACAAGTCATTGACCCAAATATCAAACTTTTCAAGCTTTTTTTTTTTTTTTCAAGTTTCTCTTATGCTAAGAAAACCACCAAAAATGCACTTTAGAAAGAGTTCTGCTATTTATATCGGAGTTGTCACAAAGTTGCTTGAAAAAAAATTTTACATTAATCTGCTTTCGAAGAACTATATCATTTATGTGGAATAGCCACATCTTTTCAAAGCCACACATTTCTTAGGGACATTTTTAAACTATTTCAACCAGCACTTATCAATAGATACTTATCACTTCAGGATTTCTTTGTGACTGTTATGCTGCCTTGAATAGCATTTTCAAATCAGTTTTCACAATCATTTTGGAAGCAAAATATTTTGCTATTACTTTTTAATTGCAGCAAGAAATGTATTTCACTTGAGAAAGGTTAAAAGCTATATACATTTTGAAACAGTTTTTTAAAGGGTAGTACCGTACCTCAGGCTACTTCAGGCTTGGTTTTTATTCTCCACCTTCACTCCCTGAGCAAGAAAATTATAACTGGCTTCAGATCAGAAACTGAGATGGGCAGATTAAGCCTATTGCTAGAAACTCCCATGTGTCACAAGTTGTCTGTGGTATTAAGCAGCAGCTGTTGGATTCCCTGTCAAAGAACAGCTGAAAATAACACTGAGGTTCAGGTCAGAGGTCAGATGCAAATACACCACAGGCGCTACATGGAAAGCTGTCAGGACCATTGGAAATCTCTGGAACAAAGCCAGAATAGAGGACAGAGGACATAGCAATAAACAGAGTTAAGTGAGTCCACTCACCCCTTAGCTCAATTTAAAAGCATGTTCAGGTTCAGGTTCAGGGCTGAAGTTTAGAAGTCTGAGTCGGCACCATTACTTTATTTTGCTGAGGTTCATGATAATATTCTTGAGTTTATGTATGCATGTGTGTGGGTATATATCTTGGGTATTGAACAGTTATGTTTGTTTCCAAGAGCATGTCATGGCCAGTCTGCAATTGTGTACCCACAACCCTTGCCTTCTGCTCTCACCACCTGCCTGCTGCTCCAATGAGATGGAAACCACACCTGCATCCCAGTTCTTGTGCTCAGTGAATTTCACCTGACACTCAGAAGAAAGCAGTTGGTGCAAGCTCAGGGTAGCAGGTACCAAGGCATCCTACAGCGCAGAAAATAGTATGAACTGTTCGTTTTATGGCTGTGCTGACAACTTGCAGAAAGCCAGCCACCCTGGAATACCGAAGGCAGTTCTCTCCCCTGGAGCAAATATGTTATTGGTGCCAACTGACCAAAACAAACTAATTGTGGCCAGTTTTTAGCTAAACGACCTCAAGAGAAAGCAAGAACTGACACCTGTGTCACAGACTATCCACACCCTATGCTAAAATGCCCAAAGAGTATTGCTCAATTCATTATGTACTTTGCCAACGAGAACAGCAAACAGTGACTTGCACTTAGAATGCCCAGTGCACTTTCACCCAAAGTTCATCCTATTGCTTAGAAACTATGGGACACAAATTGCATAAAGGCCCTCAGCAGAGGAAGGGACATTTTGGCCTCAAGCTACAAAGACCACAGGCTAAGTAAAGAGTGGCTGTATCCACAAAGCCTTGCTCAAGGGAGAGGACTGTGTAAGGGCTGCAGAGAGCAACAAGAAACTTCTGAGCTCGCAGGCCCAAATACAGGAAAAGAGAGAAGAGAAACAGAGGGGAGAACACATCGCTGAAAATCTGGCTAATTTCAAGGCTGAAGGGCAAAGGGAACTGGAAATATTTAAGGCTTTGTTAAAAGATTAATCCAGCTATTCAGCAGCAGAGGTAGTGCCCTTTGTGTGTGTAGATGACCTTTCTTTCTGCTAATTAGATGGAGTAGGTCCAGGATGTTGCATAAAGAAAATGTTTTCTACTTTGGTGGACATGAGCAATAAAACAAGTTGTGTGTATGAATTTAAGGGGTTTCTGACTAAAGCTTTCTTTTAATTCAAATTCTTGGCTTTAAAACCTGCAAAAGAGTCAAATCATTTTTCCTCCTCTTCCCTTGCTTTTTCCTCCCACTGTTTTCTCCTTCACTTTATTTAGTCTTTTCCTCCTCTCCAGTAAGGCTGTTGCTCAGATCTCTCTATCAACATCTAGTTTCTCTAGAACCTTGGCATATTTTTCTTCATTTAGAATAATATTTAACAACAAATTGAATTACTGACCCCAGTAAACAATTTGGAAAATAGCTAGTATAAAATGTATTGTAGTAAGGGAATTTATACATCATAGTTAGATGAAAGTTTTAAATGTTAAAATAGTAAAGGCTTTTTGAGTTACACTTTATTTATCCTCTGCCTTCCACCATCATCATCATCATCACTACACAGATACACACACACCAAAACAAAGCAAAAACCTTACAGGCATTCTCATAGCTTTGAAGTTTATGGAGGATCTCTCACAGGTTATTACGCCTTCTTTGTTTATCCCTCTGGGAAATGCTTGTTTTTAGACAAAGTGAATTTTAGCAAAATATCCTCCATGGGAAATCACAAAGCTATGACTAGGTTCTGTAGAATTTAAAACAGCACATTTTTTTTAATGAAATAGAGCTAGTAGTTTGAAGATCTTTTCATGTGATTATTTTTCAGCTTTATCAAGAATATGACATTTGGGCCGGGGATTTAGCTCAGTGGTTTCATTGCCTGCTGTGCAGGCGCAAGGACCCGAGTTCGATCCCCAGTACCGAAAAAAAAAAAAATAGAATATGACATTAAAATACCTCTTTGCTAGGGTATGTGTAGAGTCTGCCCATGTTTTCACATAGGATCCCAGGTATTTATCTTAACCAATACTACTACAGGTTAAACTGTATTTCACTTTATAAAGACACATGAGATAGACCTGATATAAATAACTCAAACTGAGTTTATTCATCTGTATTAAAAATTTAAGGCAAAACTTTCCCTATTATTATCCTTAGCAGTAGTAATAATAGTAATCATTTAGTGACTGATGTTTACATGCCAAGAACCAAGATATGTGCTTTACTTTTTATTCCATATAATTCACATCATCGGGTTGGAACAACTTATTTTCCTGATTTTATAAATGAGATACATGCACCCACACCCACACATTCATACACAGTGATGAACTGATTCCAGCCACCTCTGGTCCCACTTTTCCTGTTTGGGTTTCAACCCTTTTCATGGTCTGGCTCCTCCCTAGCTGCCCAGTTACATACACCGTTATTCCCAGGTCCCAAAGGCCTTTTTCTATTCAGGAACTTCATCCCTCACTTCCCTTCATCTATCCAAATTCTTCCCAACCTAAGACCAAGAAGAAGTACCAACATCTTTTAGAAGCTGAAATGTTATTCTATATTCTTTTTTCCTCAAAATCTAATTGAAACTCAAAATCTAATAATTACATCCTGATATTGGAAACTTGTATTGTTTTCTAATTATTTCACTTCCATTCATATTCCCATTCATTTTTCTACTATTTGAAGCACTTCATGGGGAAGAGCCACATGCTAACACTGCTGGATCTTTGCACATCACCCCACAGGGTTGTGGAGATCCAAAGTTGTTTTATGGAAAGTGCTTAGAAGAGGACCCAGTATCTAGTAAATCCATGAACCACAATATCAGACACAGAATTGGTGCTTATAAATATTGGATGACAGATTGTTTTAATGCAACTCATTCATTCAGTATTTATTCCTGTATCCATAGTTATTGAGCATTGCTATAAGCACTTAAGCATTAGGAACATAGCAGTGAGCAGAATAAAAAGACCCATGCCCTCCAGATATTGACATTTTAGTGATAAAAGACCACAAACAATGAAATAAAGAAAAAAGATAACACATTGCAATAAAAGTGGAGAGAAAAAACAACCCTGGTGGTTTAAGTACATTGAATCACAAAAATTATATTTAGAACTTACCAGAGAAATCAAAGGGTGTTATCAGGGTATTTCTATTAGATACAGAGATTAACAGGAATAATAGCTGATAATGGTTATAACAAAATGAATAAAAACAACATGAATCACAGGGTATGGTAGAGGCACTGAGCATGGGCTCCAAAGCCAGCCTGCCTTAGCCTCTCTGTGCCTTCCATTTCTTGTAAATTGGTATGCTAGGAATATTTACACTACAAAGGTTTGTCAGGAGGATTAAATAATATCTGTAAAACACTTCATGCCTGGCATACAGATGATGTTTGGATAGTCATAAATCGTTATTTCCGAGATGACAGTATCTATTTTGAGATATCTTAAATCTGTCACAAATTTTGAAATGAATTTTAAATTTTAAAAATTGAGTTCAAACATATGGTAGACAACTCAGATGGATTAAACATATCAGAAAGGCAAAATATGCATTACCAGGAAGTACATTATTTCACTGATAATCAGATCTAAAAATATTTCAGTGAGTCATTTCTATCTAGAATGTCATCTCTAATGGTCACAGTGGCCAAAATTTCCCAACTCATCCTTTGTATCATGTAATACATTTCCTGGTACTTCTCAGTTATTTCATGACTATAAACATCTCACTTAATTGTTATACATAAATAAATGGAATTTTCTCTTTCTCCTTTAACCAACCTCCAGTTCTTGCCAGTAACTTATTCTTCCATGCCTGTGTTCATGTCTTCACTTACCAAATAGGACAAATACCTGCAAAGTGTGGAACAGTGTTCTGGATGTGAGTCACATAGCAATAAATAAGGCAAAGTTCATCCGCCAGTGGAGCTTGCCTTCTGATGGGGGAGACATCAATTAGAAAATACACAGAAAGTACATATATTGTATGTCAGGATGTAATATGTATTAGGAAGAAAAATCAGGCAGGGTGAGAAAAGATTGAACAGGGTGGGGGGATACTATTTTAGGTGGGGCTCAGTAAAGGTCTATCAGTAGATGAGATTTGAGTAGAGACCTGGATTAAGTGAAAAGAGCAAGGCATGCAGCTATCTCGGGAAGAACATTCCAGGCAGCTGGGGCATGTCTGTTACATTGGAAAAGCATCCAGTAGTTCGCTATGGCTGAAGCTAAGTGAGGACTGTGGGAGAATACAGAGAGAGAACATGCAATCTGAGAGGACAGGCTGCCCAGTTCACCTCGGACTTTCAGGTGGGAGCCACTGAACCCCAGTTTGCTGGGACAACCCTGCTTTGTACTTGTTCCCTGGCACAATTATTCTGGAGGATATTCAGTCAGGATCAAGAGTCTATCGGGATGACAGATTATGTGACAAACCTACTATTTACCAAGACAAGGACTTTGAATTCATTCTGATCGAGATGGGAAATTATTTCAAGGTTTCCATCCAAAGAATGACATCATTTGACTTCATATTGAAAATAACAAAACAAAACAAAACAAAAAAACCCATAGAGAAGAGACTGGTGAAGTCAGGAGTGAAAGAGGGAGGTGGAATGAATTCCATGTCACCCAGTTGGCAAATATCCACATGAAGCTGTGAAGCTGCTGTGGGATGTTTCTTTATGGACACATAAGCTTTACTTAAGAAGAATCACATGAGTCTAGTATTCATTTGGGCAAACTCCTTTTTGAATGAGAAAGATATATACAATACTTCAAGCCAGAAAACATTTTTTAATAAAAATCACTAAAAACAAAACAAAACAAAACAAAATCACTAAAAAGCTTTCATGTGCAAAATTTATCCTTAAAACTTTAAGTCACAGGCCCTCCTACCTGTGTTGAGCTGCATGCTTAGGCTCCAGTGCAGCAGTTCTCTCTCTGATACAGTTCCTCTTGATGTAGTGAAGCATTCTGAGAATTAGGCTCCAGAAGACAGGCAGTTTTTATGAAAAGATAGAACTCTTAGTCAACTTGATTTGGGGAAATTGGATTTCTTTTGTTTTTCCTTTCTGTTGCTAATCTCCAGTTGAGGCTGAGAATTTTCCATCTCAGAGCAATCCCAAGGGAGGCCTCAAGAGCAGCAGTCATTCCAGCTGCTTGGGAAGCCAACAGTGACACTGTGGGTTGAGCTATCAGTTCCCCCAGCAGCTATGACTTTTTCCAAAGAAAGAATAATAATATAAAACTCAAGGGCATAAAACTCAGATAGCCCAAATGGCATGGCTATTATCCAAATTAGGCAGTATGTAAAGACTTAAAAAGAGAAAGCCGGATACAGTGGCACACATTTGTAATTCCAGCTACTTGAGAGGTTGAGGCTGAAGGATCACAGGCTTGAGGCTACCCTGGGCAACTTAGTGAAACCCTGTATGAAAATAAAAACAAAAAAGTGCTTGTAGAGCACTTGCCTAGTGTGGCATTAGGTTCAATCCCCAGTACTACAGACAAAAAAAAAAAGTTTAAAAAGAAAGTTTTTAAATATGAGGTTTTGAGAAACAGTCAAGAGATTAGCATGTGTGTGCACACACATGAACACACATGCACAGATTATTTGTCATATATGATGAGGCTGTCAGTAATGCACTGGGCTTTCTGGGCCGTACATGAGTGCTATTTCTTGTTTTACTGACAGTTCACTGGCATCAGTTCAATGACAAAAGCAAGTTTTAACAAATTCTCCTATAGATCTTTCTTTTAAATTTAACTGAGTTTTTAAAAAATTAACTATTTCTTTTGAGATTCACATCCTCATTCCAAGTTAGAAAGCCTCATACCAGCATTCATGCCAAAGTCCTTGCTATGGGAATCTGTTTGTGAAAATATATCTCTCCCCCAGGTCATAGAAGCCACATGAAAGGCAATGACTACTGAGACTTTCCGGAAGGATAAAGAAGTTACTAACACCTGCAGGAAAAAAGATATTCATATACACAGGCTTGTAAGAAAAACAGGAAACAAGATGAGAGAACCTCACAGAAACCTGGAAATCAAAACTGGAAACAAAAGTAGCAGGTCCTCTGTACCCCACCCCACCTGACTCACACCACCCTAAGCAAAACGGCTTGCTATTGCAGCAGATTCCACCCTCATAAAAGAAGGATTTCAAAAGCAAGGTCACTTGGTGTAATGGAGAATTTAGATTCTGCTTCTGGGCACAGCCCTGCTTTGAGCTCCCACTAACAAGGAGAGCCATAGCCTCGGCCTCTGTGCATAAGGCCCTGGGCCTCTTTCTCAGCACCATCCTCCTCAAATCCCTTTAAAATGGTAAAACATGCAGTCACTTAATCTGGTTGGGCTTCTAAATGACCTTGTACTCTAGGTTTTTAATCTAGACTATTACCTCTGTCATAGGAGTTGGAAAGCTGAAATGAAAGAAATTAAGTTCATGAAATTCAGAATTCAAGTTCATGAAGTACATGAGACAAGAACCCAGCCACTTTTCTGTTTTCTCCTCCAATCATACAGGGAGTAAATTCCACTCTTCTAATGTTAGATCAAAAAATTGCACAGATGGGCCGGGGATTTAGCTCAGTGGTTTAGCCGCCTGCTGCACAAGCACAAGGACCCGAGTTCAATCCCCGTACCAAAAAAAACTGTACAGATGTCCATACATCCCATTAATTAGCTAATCCACATAGTCCAACACTTCCCACATCCTGGGCACAGCCCTCTGGGTCAGAAAACTACCACCAAGAATCCTTAAGAAAAAAGAAGCACAAAACTATTTCTGTTCTTAGTGTTTTCATTGGAAAAGACAAAATACACACATGAAGCACTTTGACACTGTGGCACATCTAGACAAGGTGCTGTATTAGCTTTCCAACACTGGACACAATACTTGACGACCCTAAACTTAAAGGAGAAGAGGTGTAATTTGGCTCAAGATTTCGAGGTGTCAGTTCATGGTTGGCTGGTTCCAAGGCAGAAACATCGTGTTGGAGCAAAGATGATCAGTTCATGATGGCCAGGAAGCAGAGTAGGACAATAGAGCCAGAGAAGAAGGTGTAAGGGAGCAGACACAGACTCCAAGGCCATGCTTCCATGATCCACCCAGACACACCCAGAAGTGAGGATTAAAAATACCCTAGGTGTGTCCCAGCCAGGTTGACATATCACAATCAGCAGTCACATACACCAAACTAAAATGACTTGGAAGTGAGAACTCCCTTAAGAGATTTTCCAAATATGAGAAATCATAATAAAAGAAGAGTTCTAAACATGGATGTCCATTGACAGTGATAATGAAACTACTTTGATTTTGCTTCAGAGTTTTGCCTATCTGTAGCCTGAGGAGCATCACAGCAAATTTTTAGAAAAGGTGCGTTATGGGGGTGTATACCACCCACGTTTATTTTTTAGGAGTATTTCTACTGATGAATCGTTAATTTTAATTTTATGAGTTTTACTATATTAAACAATGAGTACTTAACAGGAAAATCAAATAACAAAATAAAATATTAAATTTTGAATATGTAATGAGTATGTACAATAAACAACATCTTCAACATCAACTGTTCGCATGCTTACAAGATCTAAAATATAACAGCAGTAATAAATTCCTATGTGAATTACAATGAAAACACAAACAAAACTCTACCACAGAAATAATCTTCACTTCAATTATCACATCTAAGGCAGTCTTCACACATGACAACAGCATGTTCCATACACAAGTATTGCTTACACTGTTTTGTATCACTTATGTGTGTTTTGTTGCTCTGCCTTCTTTGATAGGACATAACTTGGCATCTCACTGGTCTTCCTGTTTTCTTAGGAGGTTCTTGTGATGTTTCACCTGTCTGCTCACTGGTCTATTCCAGAATTTTTTGACAAGTTCTTTGGGCAGATACATACTGTTGTTCCTCTTTTGTAATTAATCACTTATCAATTCCAGTCCCAATCCTCTAAGAGAATTTCACCGTGATATTCTGTGCTTGTTATTTTATTTGTAAACTATAAGACTATTTATGCTTGACATATTTAGGATGAGTGAAACACAACCATTGGCCAATGCTTTGTGTTTCAAGTGACATCAAAATCGCTGCATAACTCATCAACATCTACTCTGTCTTTAGTTTTATTGTGAAATGTGACCATTTCTGGCTTCATTTCTGGCTTTATTTCTGTTGAGTATTCACTATCAACATTTGTTTGTTTGTTTGTTTGCTTGGAGACAGGGTCTCGCACTATGTAGGCCAGGCTAGTCTTGAACTCACTAGGCACAGGCTGCCCTTGAATTCACAGGATCCTCCTCCCTCAGCCTCCCAAGTGCTACTATTAAAGGCATGCCCCACTCAGCCAGGCCTCACTACCTTATCATCATGGTGTAATGTTGACAGTATCAATACTGTTTTGTTTTTCTTCACCATATAGTAGGTCACTGTTATGTCTTTCTGTAATCCAAAAATTGTACTATATGTCAATTATGAACTTGCAATAGTTTTTCAGGAATCTCACCTTTGTTTTTGCCAATAGTTCCCATCCTAGTCAACTGGGGTTCTTTTAGCAAATGTAACATCAATGGTTAACTACTGAACCAATTGTCTAATGTGACATTTGAATTACTTTTTGAAATAGTTCCAAGTCTGTTCCCAAAGTCATACGGTTTATTATTGCATGAAGAAAGATCTGGTGGCTGAGGTCCAGGATAAATTTCTAAATTCAAAGTGTAAAATGTCTTCACATCTACCAGGACATATATTTTTATACCAAATGGAAAGTTTACTTGGCATATTTTGCCTTAAAGGTCAACAGCCACGAAATGATGTAAATTGTCAATTGTCATGTATTCAGATGGTGTTTAAATTGCTTGACAGTTCAAAACAAAGGTTTTAACAAATGAGTGAATAGCAGCCCAGATTTTTTTCTTTCATGGCTGGTCTCTTTGTCATCAAAATGTAGTCAATTCTGAAGGAAACCAAATCTGTCGAGTGTCATTACTGTTCTAAAAATCTCAACATCACATGTCACTTCTTCATAAATCCTTTAGATTCTGTCAATTAGAATGATACGTCTTGCTTTTAGTTCAGATAGTGAGGTGTCATGATAAATATATTTTTGAGTATTGCTACTGATACATACAGAATCTTTTGCATTTCATTATTAGTGTATTTCAAAACATCTTGTAGCACATTGTCCACTACAAACAATTTCCAGCATTGAATTGCAGTGTTGGCAGTGTTGGCATTCCACCCAATACATTTCACTCCTGGTAAGAATCTGTAACATTTTCTGACCTAGTTCTAACATTGGATTGTTCAGCTATACATGGCCATTTTGTAGCATTTTGACTAGTCGAATATTTATGTACATTATTATTTTCTTCCTCATCTGAATCAAAGTCTTCATCCTGTACTTCTGTCATATATTGCTAACTTCTTTGGCTTACATGATCCAAGTCATCAACTGTAGCCGAGTCACTTGACGAGTCACTTTCAACCTCTTCCTCAAGTAGTAAAAGCGGATTTTCATCCAACATTTTACTGAATTAGGCTAATTCTACAAGAAAAATCAAAATAAAACATGTAATAAAAAATTATAAATGCACAAAAATGTAACAGTGCATAATGTGGGTAAATCTCACCCATTTACACTTTGACACAGATGTGTGTACCCTGCCATTAGTCATATCAAGTGGGTGAACACAAAGATTGCTTTCTTTTCCCAGCCCAGCTACTGAGATGCACAGCTGGCTACTGTTATGCTAAAGTATATATTTTTGGGCTGGGGATTTAGCTCAGTGGTGCCGCTGCCTGCCTTGCAAGCACAAGGTCCTGAGTTTGATCCCTGGTACCAAAAGAAAAAAAAAATGGAGTTACAGTAATCTAAAGTACATATTTTCATTGAGTTGCTTTTGCTACCTTGGTTCATAAAAACATGTATATGAAAGTTTTTTAAACTGTTACTCTCAGTTATTCACAGACCCAGGTAAATTTGGCTGTGCAGGTCAAACACACCAGGTGAAATAAGTAGTAGAATGTTTAAATTGTAGAACTAAATG